CCACCCTAATCGTCCGGCCTCTCCGCTCGGGTAACTGTTTCTCTCCGAGCCCTTCTCCTTACTCCCAAGCAGGGGCGGAGTGCAGGATTAGGGGCTTCCCAGGGTGCCCGGCAGGTGGATCGCGTCTCAGCCCGAGGGCTTAGCTGCGAGCGCAGCTGGGCAGGTTTGGAGGTTGGCCTGGACTGGGGAATCTTGGACAGACACTGATGGGTGGGTGGGCTGGCCCGGGTTGTGCCCGGCTCGCACCCATGGTCAGAGCCCGGGGACTGGAGTCTAGAAGCCTCGGATTGCACATCTTTTGGAAAAGGAGGTTAAAAAGCTGCCCCTTAAATGCGATGCTGCCGGCACCCCCCCCCCGCCCCGCGCCCCTTGGCTTTGGGAAAGCTTCTTAAACTTTTTCGTCCCGGACTCTGCCAGACCTGCAAAAGGAAGTACTGTTTCTATATTTATTTTTCCCCTGGGAGAGAGCAATAAAGGAGAGTGCTCAGATTCCCAAGGAATCTCACTGCCAGTGGTTTCTCATTTCTGAACTGACCTAAAGAAACTTTGGGGGATCAGCTTTGGTTCCCTGAACTAGTATCTTTGGATTCTTTTCATTGTTTTTTCTTGGTCACAGGTGACGGTGAAAGACCTAAATCTTAGGCAGGGCTCCGCATGTAAAGGGTCTTTGCCAAGAGCACAGAAGCCAGCTGGGGGGACAGGGTTAAGTTAGTTGGCAACCTTCCTTTTTTTTCTTTTCTCTTGTGAACCCTCCCTGGAGCCTCTCTCACATTTCTAAATGGGTGGTTTTTTGTCTCAAATTCTGCTGAGATCACGTCAGTTTTGTGCCTGAATGACTGAATGTGTCCTTCTGTAGTCTCAAACAGTTGAGGAAGCCAGAGCCCCTCTCCTTCCAAAATAGCAGCTTGCTGCTCCCAGCCCCACTGGGGCCCCCTCTGCCCTTTGGGAGGGACCCTTCCAGGGAATTCCAGACTTGAGTTGCCTGCCTGAGGGTCCCGTTGGCTCAGAATCTGCCGGGTTTTGAATTATGTTGGCTCCTGGTTGAAGGTCTAGATTACAAGCTACTTTCTCAAATCAGTACGTTAATCTTTCTGAGTCAGGGCAAATGATAACATTTTGGGTCGTCTTTCCAAATGCCCAGTTATTACCAGGAGGTTTTTGCCTCAGTAGCTTTTGACTTGGCCCTTAACCTGCAAAAGTCTTCTCAGTTTTCTTTTTCTCTTGGGAGTTTAAAGTCCTCCCTCCCTCAAAGATCACTAAGAGGTTTTTGCCAACTGAAGGAAATTTAGTTTCCAGCCGAGTGTTTGTTTTTGGTAACACATGTGTCTGCCTCCTCATTTTGCAGTGAATCAGACACAGCCAGCGATAAGCAAATACATTTGAAAATCATCTGGATTGCTAAAGCTAATCCAACTCATCTTTTAGTGTTTGACTCAAGAAAAATCTCCCCAGGTTTCACTGGTGAATGCTACTAACATGTTCACTATACCTTTCAGCTGAGGAATCGGAATCCCCACCCTGCCTCCCCAGGGCTGTAGAATGCTCCATTCACGTGAGAAGATGAGTTACACTTTGAACACTCTTTGAATTGAAACATTGATCTGTGCAAAATTAAGCATGTTGGACCCAATCTTCCATTAACTGGTGCAACTCACTAGAATCTGTAGTCTCCTCTTGTCAGAGATTCAGGGCCTTTTTTTTTTCTTTTTAATCCCTTGATGTAAGGTTGAGTAGTTATGGAATGACTAGGTATGGTGGTTTTAACAACAAAATTAAATGAAAACACAAGATATACTTGGGCTCTCGGAACATATGTAAAAAGGATAAAGAAGAATTATTTGTGACACTTTTAAAATTTGTAATTTAAGTGCCTCCTCCTATGTTTCTAAATTCTCGATTTTGAGCTCTCCCTCCTCCCAAATAGGTAGAATGCCTCGTCACCATCTCTAGATTCTTACAATGTTTTCTCTAATTTGTGAAGCTCATAAAGCAGTCGATGTAGGAGAAATTGTTTTCCAGGCCCCCCAGCCAGCATGTCACACAAGGTACATCTCCCAAACTAGCCCATCAGTTTTAGGCTCTGGGCTGATTTTCCATTGTTGTGCAAGATGTTAAGAGATGTCTAGAGGTAAAGAGTGATTAGAATGTCACCCTGTGTGTAATGCAGGAACGTTTCCGTTTCCAGGCTCTCTCTTCATCCCTTCTAAGCCATTCCGCTAGACAAAAACAAGGTAGCGGTGGAGGGAGTAGGTGCGAGTGTCTTCCCCAGAGAGATGGAGCTTTTATAAGAGTTTTTATAAAAAGTGATGGTAGCGTTGCTGTATCTCATATGTGAATCTCTGGTGTTGTATAAGCTCTGCTAAGTCCTGCGGGGTGCCCTGGGACGGTGCCCATCCTTGGGTGTTCACGTGTTTATGAATTTCATAAGGGCATCCTTGTATCACCATGTGTGAGCCCATTGGCTGAACTCACACCATGTGGTCAAAGCATTCTGGTTCCTACTGCTCCTCCAGCTGGTTAAGTGTGTCCGGGGCCAAAAGTGACTGACCTACTATCTGTGGATTGCGCTTGGAACATCCATGCCAAAGCTTCCTGGAATTGCATCACACTTGGATTCAAATAGGCAAGGTTGAGATAGTCTCTCTGATGTGGATCACAGTAGTTGGTTGAAAGTGTATCATTCTTTTCCTGTGTTCTTTGGTTTCTGAGTCGGATCACCTGATTCCTGGGAGAAGGCACTTAGTTCTAGGGCGCTGGAAAGTAGAGGTGAGCTGGGAAGAGTCAGGCCAGTAAAAATACCTGAAAGTTTATATGTGAACCATGAGATCTGTGGTCAGGGAAGGTCTGAAAAAGAAAAGCTAATTAAAAGAGATAAACAGATTGATAATATTCATTTCACCTTCAGAAGAATCATCTGTGTTTGCTGTTTTTCTGTGCCTAGGAGCTCAAGTTTTTCCTTGTTGAAGTTCTACTTAAGGCAGTGGTGCTTAACCTTAACTCCACGTGGAAACCATCAGGGAGCTTTAAACCCTATGGATGTATAGGCCACACCCAAGACATTCTGATTTAATTGGTCTAAGGGTTTGGCTTAGGTGTCGTCGTTTTTAAAGGTCTCCAGGTGATTCTAATGTGTCATCAGCTTTGAGAACCATTAAAAAAAATAACTATATATACACCTTCCCCACCTCGTAGATTAAAAGCAAGTGTGGCACGAACAGATACACCCTCCATATGCACATGGTGTGGTTTCACCAAGTCTTGTGATACCTGCAGAAATCTAATGTAATTCACCCTAAGCTACTGTAGGATTTAAAAGGCTGTGGGAACGCTTCTGGAAAACAATCTCCAATGTGACGCTTCCGAATCCCGAAGCTCAGGGTTTGCTCATGGTTGTACTTGACCCTGAGCCCTCCTGACTTTGAAGCTCTGTGTGTGGGAGCCCTTGAAGCTCTGGCAATGAAATGGTCTGAAACAAATGCTGAGAGGTCACCTTTGGTGCCAGAAGGGCAGGAGGGTGGGGGAATTCTGCTTTGGGCCCTT